CTTTTTGGCAGAACAGAGTCTTGCTTTGTTGCCAGGCTAGAGTGAATGCATGGTGTTAGCTCACAGCAACTCAAACTCCTGGGCAAGCAATCCTTCTGCCTCAGCCTCCCGAGTAGCTGGGACTACAGGCATGTGCCACATGCCCGGCTAATTTTTTTCTATATATATATATTAGTTAGCCAATTAATTTCTTTCTATTTATAGTAGAGACGGGGGTCTCCCTCTTGCTCAGGCTGGTTTTGAACTCCTGACCTCGAACAATCTGCCCGCCTCAGCCTCCCAGAGCGATAGGATTACAGGCCTGAGCCACTGCGCCCTGGCCCAGCAGACTTCTGAGATCAACTATCTCTTTCATCAACTACTGTCTATACACTGATAGTTCCCAGAATCATATTTCCAGCCCTGCCTCTCCCCTGTACTCTAGAATTAGCTGGATCCAACCACATACTCAACATCTCTTAAATGTCAAGTAGGCACCTCAAACTTAACATGTTGATCCCAACACTAATATGTGAAGTCTATGAGGATAGAGGGCTATACTTTATTACATTCTCTATAAAAGTTTTAAAAAGAAACTCTTGTTTCTTTCCTACATTACCCCTTTCTCAAAAAATTTTAATTTCAGGAAATAATAACACATCTTCCAAAAAAAAAAAAAAAAAAAAAAAGTGTGCTGGATTCAGCTCAAACTACCTTGTGAGAACCAATGGTTAAATTTTCAGGAATTTTTTGAGCCAACTGTCTTCACTTTGGTAACCTGAAACCAGCAGGTGGGTGTATTTGCACTGCCCACCTTGGTAAATGCTACAAATCAGGTATCCCGAGTCTGTTTTGAACCATTTATCAGCACATCACTGCATCTGACTGATTGTTTTCTCCAAAAAGAAAGAGGCAAGCTTTTCAGCTGACAGAGAGAGGAGAAATAAGGTGTGGAAGGTTTGGGGTGTTTTTTTTTTTTTTTTTGGAGACCAGTCTCACTCTGTCGTTCCAGCTAGAGTGCAATGGTGTCATCACAGCTCACCACAACATCAAATTCCTGGGCTCAAGCCATCCTCCTGCCTCAGCCTCTTGAGTAGCTGGGACTACAGGTGCACATCACCATGCCTAGCTAATTTTTCTATTTTTTGTGGGGAGGAGTGCGGGGTGGGGGGTCTCACTCTTGTTCAGGCTGGTCTCGAACTCTTGAGTTCAAGCGATCCTCCCACCTTGGCCTATGTGGAAGGTTTGAGTCAGGAGAAAATGTGAGTCATTTTGGAGAGTGAAAAAGTGAACATACTTGGGCAGTGGTATAGGAATGCCAGGCAGAGACCTGTTTGACATTGGTGGAGTGACACCAATTTGTGGGCTTTTCTTCAACAACCTTCAGCTGCTTGGGTGCAGGCTTGGTGTAATCCCATAGTTGAGTTGAATTAGGTGTGGTTTGGCTAGCAAGTACAACCTAGGGCTTACAGTGAACTAGGCACTGTGCCAAGTACTTTGCAGAATACAAAAAAAGAACGCAACATGACCCCTCCCCCAAAGGAACTTAGTCTTATTGGAGAAATAAGATATATATATATGACAAGGAGAAAAAATAACTAGCAGTCCACAGTTGAGAAAGCAAATGCAGGGAGTAGCAGGACTTTGGAGACAGGTAATTTTTTTTTAATAGATAGTGAGAAAAATGAAGTCACAGACTTTCTTAAAAATTGGTAGTAAGAAAGAAGAATTAGGCAGGTGATCACAGCTGAAAGGATTTTCCTGCGAGCGGAAACCTGTTGATGTTTGAAGGAGCCAGGGGAGAGGAAGTGATTAAAGATGCAGGAGGGAGGGAATGGAGACCATGGAGCCTTGTCTGGCCCAGAAGCAGAGAGGGTCTTGGGAAGGACAAGGGAAGCACTTGCTCTTGCGTGCAAAGCACTGGGCTGGGGATTCAGTGCAGCTCAAGCTGAAGGCAGGGAGGATGGAAATTAGAATTGAAGAATTCCCAGATTCCAGAGGTACAAAGGCTGTAATGAACCAAGGGAAGGATCCTATTGCACACACCCCTCCCCCACAGGATCTTCAAGCCTGGATCAAAGAGGACTTGGACTTCTCCCTTCTCTTCCACCACTTGGGTCCAGATTTGCTCTGTAATCTTCTCTTGTTTTTTTCGTGTCACCTCAGGAAACCTGAAACAGTTTATCATAGATACCAAACTATTGTCAATCACTGGAGCCAACATCTGGTCAGTAAACAGCATATTTAAGCTGCAATCTCTTTTCCTCCAGCAGAGGGGGTATAGCTCAGGGGTAGAGCATTTGACTGCAGATCAAGAGGTCCCTGGTTCAAATCCGGGTGCCCCCTAAGAGCAACACTTTTAAGATGGTAGGCAAGAAGGACAAAGCTGACTGAACACCACTTCTGTGGTGTGCATTGTTCTAATACAAACAGTAAGTAAGGAAATGTATATTCCCCCATACCTTTGCTTACATCATGCTTCTAGTACCCAATACAATATGCAAACATGGAAGCCACTACACAATGTGATACCTGCATTGGTGGGGTGTCTTCTGAAACCTTGGTTGTTCTTGGGCATGTGGGGAAACTTGTACCCCTGAGACCTTTCTGTTATAGAGGAAAGAAACATTTTCGCAGTAATGTTAATACTAAGACACTATTTTCCTATCTCACTCTTGCTCTTTCATGAGTATACAGTAGAGCTTAGATGATGTGTGATATCACAACAGATTAGATACAGAAGCACAAGAAAAACCACCTGTTTTTCATTAGGCCAGCTATTAAAGGGGTTTCAGAAAAATAAAAAAACTAAAGTATAGCTACTCTTCTTACTAAATATTTCTGTTTGGAAAAAATGTACTTTTCATTTTAAAATGTTATTTATTTTAGCAAATGATGGGCTTATGATTATCTTAAATTAATAAATATTTAAATATTTCTCAATTTTAATTTCTAGTCTGGCAAATGTCATCAGATATAACCTATATGAACAAAAACTCTTTTGAGGTCCTCAATAATTTAAGAGTATAAGGGGTCTAAAATGAAAATATTTGGCCAAGAGGTGGCTCACACCTGTAATCCTAGCACTCTGGGAGGCCGAGGCAGGCGGATTGCTTGAGGTCACGAGTTCGAAACCAGCCTGAGCAAGAGCCAGACCCCCCCCATCTCTACTATAAATAGAAAGAAATTAATTGGCCAACTAATATATACAGAAAAAATTAGCTGGGCATGGTGGCACATGCCTGTAGTCCCAGCTACTCGGGAGGCTGAGGCAGGAGGATTGCTTGAGCCCAGGAGTTTGAGGTTGCTGTGAGCTAGGCTGACGCCATGACACTCACTCTAGCCTGAGCAACAAAGCGAGACTCTGTTTCAAAAAATAAATAAATAAAAATAAAATAAAATGAAAATATTTGAGAACCACTACTTCAAGCAAAGAGGTGGATCTGGGAGAGGATGCTGGGGTTCTGAGAGGGCTGGGGGAAGAGATGACATCTGAGCAGATTTTAAAGAACATGTAGGCCGGGCATGGTGGCTCACGCCTGTAATCCTAGCACTCTGGGAGGCTGAGGCAGGTGGATTGCTCGAGCTCAGGAGTTTGAGACCAGCCTGAGCAAGAGTGAGACCCCGTCTCTACTATAAATAGAAAGAAATAAGCCAAACAACTAAAAATAGAAAAATTAGCCGGGCACGGTGCCGCATGCCTGTAGTCCCAGCTACTTGAGAGGCTGAGGCAGGAGGATGGCTTGAGCCCAGGAGTTCGAGGTTGCTGTGAGCTAGGCTGATGCCACAGCACTCTAGCCCGGGCAACAGAGTGAGACTCTGTCTCAAAATAAATAAAATAAAGAACATGTAGTACATAAAGCAAGAGAGAGTGTACAAATCAATGAGGTAGGAAACTGAAGGATATGTCAGAAATTTAATGGTGTTGCTGGAGCATGAAGTAAAAGAGGCAAGGTGGCAGATGAGGCCAGGGAGGAAGTAGACCATTTCAGGAAGTGACTTCAGCGTTGTGGTAAGGAGCTTAGACTTTACAAGTACTAGTGGGCCAGCACAGGAAGATTATAGTAAAACCACTTAGAGGCTGTTGCAATAGATTTGAACGAAGGGCAGAGTTTGGGAGGCATGAACAGAAAAGTTTAGGAAATAGAGTCAAGTTGATAGACCTCAGTGACTAGATCTGGGAGACTGAGAGAAGAATTAATTGTTTCTCTTTTCTGGTTGAGACACTGATGGTTGTACCAACCAAGAAAACTGTTCCTCCCATAGCCTTCCCCATCTTGGTTGATAGCAATGCCATCTTTCTGTTGCTGAGGCCCTTAGTCTTAGAGACATTTTCACTCCTCTCTTTTTTTCATACCCCACAATTTTGTTGGCATTTCCTCCAAAACACATCCAGAATCTGACCACATCACATTACCTCTACTGCTACCACTCTAGTCCAAATCACTATCATTTATCTCCTGGGTTAGTACAGTAGCTTCCTGACAGATCTCCTCTTTGTGTACATCCCACAGATTAGTCTCAACAATTAAACCACAGTGACCCTTCTGACACATTAGTCAGATCATGTCCCTCCTCTGCTTAAAAATCAAACAATGGTTCCCCATTTCACTCAGTAAAAGCCAACATCCATAGTGACTTGGTTCCATTACTTTTCTTTTTTTTTTTTTTTTTTGAGACAGAGTCTCCCTTTGTTGCCCAGGCTAGAGTGAATGCCGTGGCATCAGCCTAGCTCACAGCAACCTCAAACTCCTGGGCTCAGGCAATCCTCCTGCCTCAGCCTCCCGAGTAGCTGGGACTACAGGTATGCGCCACCATGCCCGGCTAATTTTTTCTATATTTATTAGTTGGCCAATTAATTTCTTTCTATTTATATAGTAGAGACGGGGGGTCTCGCTCTTGCTCAGGCTGGTTTCGAACTCCTGACCTCGAGCAATCCGCCTGCCTCGGCCTCCCAGAGTGCTAGGATTACAGGCGTGAGCCACTGCGCCCAGCTGGTTCCATTACTTTTGACCTCATCTCCTACTACTCTTCCCTTCACTTACCCTGTCCAGTCACACCTGGCTTCCTCGCTGGTTCTCACGATTCAGGTATACCCCTGCTTTAGGATTTTCATTGGCTAACTCTATCTGGACTGCTCTTCACCAGATAGCCATATTGCTATTCCCACACCTTCAAGTGTTTGCTTTAGCTGGGCTTATTGGCTTGCTTGCACCTGTAGTCCCAGCTACTTGGGAGGCTGAGGCAGGAGGATTGCTTCAGCCCAGGAGTTCCAGGCTGCAGTGAGCCATGATCATCCCACTGCACTCCTGCCTGGGTGATAGAGCGAGGAAAAAAGTTTTTGCTTTAATGTCAACTTCTTCAATTTTTTTTTTGCCATCCTGTAATGAGTTTATTTGTGTTCTAAAATAATGAAATATAAACATGCACCTTACCACATCATGGGTCATGGCCAACACAGAAGTTGGACTGGAAATCCTTTGGTCCTGGTGCTTCTGTTTCATGGAAGAACCACATAATATGTGACCACTGCTTCCATACTTTAATTGTTTCTTCCAGTTCCATCTTTCCAGTAATGACCAGAAGATCAACCACCTGGAGTTTGTGATATTGGCATTCTTCATAAACATGTCTCAGACTTTATTCCGTCCGTTTCACACTGAGGTCTATCTAGAATAAGTGACAATGTTTGGCATTTCCCCACACCAGGAGCTGTAGAGCTTACCCACCCTCTTCTTGGGCTTGTTCATGTTTGTACTGAAAATGGGCTTCACCGATGTGCTGGCCCCAGCAGCAGCGCTGTGGAAGCCACTTGCTGCCATTTTATTAGAGAAACCACCTCTCTATTTTTATTTTTTTATTTAATTTCTTTTGAGACGAGGTCTCCCTCTGTTGCCCAGGCTAGAGTACAGTGGACTCATCATGGCTCACTCCAACCTCCAACTCCTGGCTTCAAGCCATCTTCCCACCTAGGCCCTCCAAAGTGCTGGGATTACAAGTGTGAGCCACCGCTCCTAGGCTCACCATTCTATTAATTGCAATCTGAGCCTCCCATCTCTCTTACTTTGTTCTTTTAATTTTTTATATCTATTCCCACAGAACATACTATATACTACAATTATTTATTATTTCTATTGTCTAGTGTTTAATATCCTCCACCTCCACCCCAGCACAATGTTAAGCTCCATAGGGGCAAGAATGTTTATCCATTTTGTTCCCTGATGTAACCTGAGTATGCCTTGGACAGAATATGGCAAAAGTAGGCACTCAATAAGTATTTGAATGAATTTATCCACGAAAGGAAAGCCAGGAGAATGAATGGCGGTTGAAGCTGTGAAAGGGGCAATTAATAAAACAATAGTTTATGTATTGTACAACAAAGAATGGTATGGTCCCATGCACACATAGACGGATTGATCTGTAGCATTACGATAGCACTTCTCAATTGTATCACATCCTAATGAAGGTGAGGTTAAAGCTCGCCCACCTCCCACCCCTACTCCCTTTGTTCCTCTGGGACCCCTTACATAGCACAAACTATTTTGTTATTCGTTAGAGTTTAGAGAAGTACCTGGCACGTACTAAGTGCTCAAAAGAGGCAGTTGAGCAAATTAACAAATCAATGTTTTCATGTCCCCAACTACTTTCATTTTTTTGTTTTTCTTCCCAGTGCAGACAAGACCCAACTACTCCGGATCCTCCGGATCACGTACACAGACTCCCGGTCTCATTAGCTTCTCCAGCTCCACCCCACCGAGCAGATAGAACACAGGCTTACGTAGTGGACTCTTTACGTCATAAGACAGCGCCCTGGGGAGGCGGGTTTAACAAGCTCCAGGTCACGTGCCGAGTGGGCGGGGCGTCTAAGTTCATATCCCAGCGTCCATTGCACCTACTTCCTTTCTCTCCTTTTCCGGCGTTCAAGATGTCGAAGCGAGGTGAGGTTTTGGCTCTAGGGTAATCTTCCGCCATCTGTCGCGGGTTTGTTGCTGGCTTCGCCGGGACCGGCAGCTGTAGGAAGCTGGGACGTTTTGCTCTCCTCTGGGCCGGAGAGAGAGAGGATGGGCACCGTGAGAGCTCTGGAAGGGCTTCTCGAAGAAGGCGGGGGGTGATAGTTAAGAGAGTGGAGCTGGCAGGATCTTGGCATGATTCTAGACCGAGCGTGGCGAGATGAGTCCGCGAATAGGGCTGCAGCAATGGCTTTGAACTTAGACTGGCTCGGGTCCTAGTTTGGGAACCTATACAGTCTTCTGCCTTGCGGGAGGTACTTCGTGTTGCAAAAGTTGGAGCGAGGGTTGAGTCGTCGGGCCTTTTAATTTCGACATCAGGGTGGGAATGGTGAGAAATCGGCTGTTTTCCATGAGAGCTGGGGGCACCCGGGGATGGCGTAAAAGGAATCCTTGAGAGGGCTAATTTGTTGTGCACAGTCTTCCAAAGCATATGCGCTGAATTTATAGAGTGAGAGTGAGGGGAACTCCGAACCATGTCTAGACACTGATTTCTTTTATCATGTTTCCCTTCTCTTTCTACCCACAGGACGTGGTGGGTCCTCCGGTGCAAAATTCCGCATTTCCCTGGGTCTTCCGGTAGGAGCGGTGATCAACTGTGCTGACAACACAGGTGAGGCCTTTGACTGCACCCTGCTACACTTCCCCTTTTAAAAGCACTCAGTGGGCCTTTTGCTAATGACCCATTGAGCCGTCAAGAAAGGGCAGATTAAGAGCACCGCTTTTGGGTGAAGCGGCAGCATTTTGTGTTGTTTGCTTCAATCGGTGGTGTGACAAGGTGTTCTTGGGGACTAATGCTTCGCCATTGAGACAAGGGAGGGGATGTGAAAGTATTTGGAAAATGTTACACTCGTGAAACTGCTTAATAGGCCCTCAGATTGATTTTTGTTTGTATCCTTGTATAGGAGCCAAAAATCTGTATATCATCTCTGTGAAGGGGATCAAGGGACGACTGAACAGACTTCCTGCTGCTGGTGTGGGTGACATGGTGATGGCCACAGTTAAGAAAGGCAAACCAGAGCTCAGAAAAAAGGGTGAGTACCCACTGAGTTGTCCTCATCTCCTGGTGGCTAGTGGAGGGATTTCTCCCTTTGCTGGAAAATGGAACATTGTTTTACAGTTTTCAAGGCCTCTTAAAAGTTTGATTTCCTTTGAGTGGTGGTGAGATAAATAATATATTCTTCATAGACAGCTTAGTGCTAGACCATGAGAGGTCACAGCTTTAAGGCTTATGACCACAGGCTGGTTTCCTTTTCTGGAATTACTGATTTGCAAGGGAATAATGGTTGTGGGAGCCAGGTCAAGAGGTGATCACAGCAAACACCTGGCCTGTTATGTTAGCACTTGGTACGTACAACACAGAGGGTATTCTTAATGCTGTAAGGCAGGGGTTTTTTTATAGATGAGATTGATTAACTCAAGGCGTGGCCTGTTGGAAGTTTGTTGTGGTTGGTTCTAAATTTCTTATGATAGAAACTAAAACAGGGAGTTGCTCATTGGTTAATCTTTAGCCCCAGAAGTTTTCCCACCAGGTGTATAAATCAAAAGAGGATGCCTCAAAGCACTACTTGTCATATCCTGGTTTTAGAACTTCGAATATTCAGTGCACTTAAGTTCCTGAAATTTTTTCCTGTGCCTGCTTAGTCTGTCTCTACCCTGGGATGTCTTGCTCTTCCACAGAATTCCTGGCCATCCCTTACTGTACAAATGTGATGTGCTGTCACTGCTATGTATTGTAGTTACTCCTTGTGTACCTGCACAATCCCATGATGCTCCCCTGTGCATTTTTAGCCTTTGGGTCAGAAATCTTACTTTGTTTATCTTTAATATTCACTTGAGGGTTTGGTAGTACTGTGGTTGTGATTAAACATTGATGAATCAGTGTGTTGGTTGGGATGAGTCTGTGTGACTGCACAGACTTTTTCCTCTTCTCAGAACACTTCTTGGGTCTGATTAGTGGCCTGGGGAGCTGTCAGAGAAGAGCAGAGCAAATGGCCATCACTTTGTGGGTTAGGTGGCAGGTAGGATGGACTGTTGGTCTAAATCAGTGGTGGGATAAAACTAAGGAACACTTCATGGATTTAAAAGCAATTGTGAATTACCAGTTCTGTTGATGTCTTTGGTTCTTGTTTCTGCTAAATTAATACATCCCCTCACTTTGGACTTTATAAGTAAGTAACAGGCTCCTGTGGAAAGGGTCAGGACTGAAAGTCCTGGATTTGTGCCTTTATTTGTCTACATGATGCACTTGTGAGAATTAGATGGTTTATATGAGGGTCCAAGAGAGGATGGTCTCACTAAATATATTTAGCTCTCAGTGTGTATCCCATTAACTTGATCAGCAGGTATCTACTTACCTAGAATTTTTTAGTTTTTTTTGGAGACAGAGTCTTGCTCTGTTGCCTGGGCTATAATGCCATGGAGTCAGCCTAGATTAGAGCAACCTCAAACTCCTGGGCTCAAGCAATCCTCCTGCCTCAGCCTGCCAAGTAGCTGGAACTACAGGCATGCCCACCAAAAGCCCAGCTAATTTTTTCTATATATTTTTAGTTGTCTAGCTCATTTCTTTGTATTTTTAGTAGAGATGGGGGTCTTTTGCTCAGGCTGGTTTCGAACTCCTGACCTCGAGCAGTCCTCCCGCCTCGGCCTCCCAAAGTGTTAGGATTACAGGCATATGTGGCTGGCCGTGGTGGCTCACGCCTGTAATCCTAGCACTCTGGGAGGCCAAAGTGGGTGGATCGCTTGAGGTCAGGAGTTCAAAACCAGCCTGAGCAAGAGCGAGATTCCATCTCTACTATAAATAGAAAGAAATTAATTGGCCAACGAATATATATAGAAGAAATTAGCTGGGCATGGTGGCGCATGCCTGTAGTCTCAGCTACTTGGGAGGCTGAGGCAGTAGGATCCCTTGAGCCCAGGAGTTTGAGGTTGCTGTGAGCTAGGCTGACGCCATAGCACTCATTCTAGCTTGGGCAACAAAGAGAGATTCTGCCTCAAAAATAAATAAATAATAAAAACCAAGTTTTTGCTCTATTACAATGACATACCCCACAACTAGGAAGTTATTAGAAAGGTATAAGATAAGGTGTCTGTATGATAAGATGTATACAAAAAATTTATGGTCGAGATCCTGGGCATACTTGTGGAGTTCAAGGATTACATATATGCACACTAGCAGTTACAGGTTTTCTTTGAGAGAATTATATACTGGAAGGAATATTGCCTAATGAGAGGGGTTCATAGCTTGACTTCTCCAGTCATTCAGTGGAGGGTGATGTCCCATTCCCAATTTTGTGATATTAGAATTTTACTCGTACCTACTTGTTAGGTGAAGTAGGGGAAGGCGTAGACATTGCTTAGCAAGCTTCAAAAGAGAATACAGATTTACGCTTTTACAGTTGCTAGAAGATAATTATCAGTTTTGAGTTAAAAGTGAATCAAGTCTTTCCTTAAAGAACGATTCCTGTTTGTGCCGTCTCTTACACTTGCTTTTAGGAAGAAATGCTAATGGCAATTGTACATTCTGTCCAGACAAACTGCTTTTGTGTTGGTGCTAGTACTTGACAGGTTAATGACTAGTGTTCTTTTTCCCCCTCTTAGTACATCCGGCAGTGGTAATTCGACAACGAAAGTCATACCGGAGAAAAGATGGTGTGTTTCTTTATTTTGAAGATAATGCAGGGGTTATAGTAAATAATAAAGGCGAGATGAAAGGTGAGAAAGCAGTCTACGTTGTTGCCTAGCTCTGAGTTTGGATGGTTTAACTCTGGTCTCAAACTACAGACAAAGGACTCTCTGATGTCTTACCCTGTCTCTCATTCGTCTTTTTTTTTTTTTTTTTAATGTAGGTTCTGCTATTACAGGACCCGTTGCAAAGGAATGTGCAGACTTATGGCCCAGGATTGCATCCAATGCTGGCAGCATTGCATGATTCTCCAGTATGTTTGTAAAAAACATTAAAAAGTATTTGCTCGTAATGCTTGCCTCCCTGTTCATTTCTACACCCTTGACAACAAACCCTTGACCATTGTCTTCTTTGTAAATGAAACTAGTAGTGGTGTGCCTGTACTCCCAGCTGCTGAGGTGGGAGAATCACTTGAGATTAGGAGTTCAAGTCCAACCTGGACGACATAGACCTCATCTCTGAGGTAGGGGGAAAAGAAACATGAAAAGTTACTTAGATTTCAGGTCCCTAAAATAAATTACAGATAGTAGAGACTGCTTAATGACAGGTTACCCTGTATAAGCCATCCTACAGTGGGAAGGGTGAGGTCAAGTGCATAGTTAGATCCTGGACACAAGCAGGGATTTCCAGGAGTGGTGTGACTGGTAGCCTGTTTGTATATATACACACTTTTTAGCAGTTACAGGTTTTCTTTGGATAAATTATGTAAATATTTGTAAAACTTAACATGGTAATTGCCATGTAAATTTACTCTCATGGTGGAAGATGATTAATTTGATAGTACCTGTAGGTGTTTTGCTGCTATTAAAATGTTTTGACAAACAGGTTGACTGTATATTAATATTTCACACTTTTGTACTTTGGATTTCAGAGTCTAGTTTGAGAACATAAGGGGAAGTTGTGCCAGCACAGTAGTTATAAATGCTGGCAAACCCAGATGGGTGGTCACACTGTTGATAGTTACACCTGAAGGTAGGCAGTGGTTGGCATTTTTTCCAAATTGCATGAGAGGTGGCATACTCAGTATTTGTGAGAGTACTAGTTTGGATCAATTATGTAGAGGAAAGACCAA